TAGCGTATTTGACTGTTTTTTCAAAACCCAACGGATTACAAAATGACGGTGGACATCGAATTTTGACATTTCCAATCGCTAGTCCGTATTCGTTGCCTGGGTCTATGCCGATTGTTCCGGTCCGTATTTACATTGTTTGCTTCCTGACCCTTTTTGAGTTTTACGGTTGGCTTGTAGGGCCTGAATCACCGGAGGACCATCGTGCATAGCTCTGTTTAGAGTCCTAAGCTGGCACTAAGACCATAGAGGTAACTCTAAGACCAGAACGTCCCGAAAAAACGTGCTCAAATTTTTGGCTCAGCTCTGGTACTATCGTCGGTCCCAAGCTAATCGATGCAACCCTCGAAACATAGGAAAATCCACGAACCCCTCATTTTATCTGTCAAACTGCCATAGCGAATCAAAACAAACATAGTGTAGTACTAGAATTTCGACTAGAATGGCGTACCCCAGTATAGATGTACTTGGGACCAATAGGCTAGTCAAGTAGTGAGCCAATTTAAAATCGTTAGTTTCCACCGGTTACTAGGACCGTGATCAGCCGCGCCTAACATGGAAAACAGACGCCGTTTTGAGCCGCCCCTAACATGGAAAACAGACGCACGGTTAGGCTACGCCCTCCGGAGAGAGAAGCCCCCCCCCCCCTTCCCTGTCAGCATACGACCTAGAACCAAGGTCCCATAGGGGTTGGTTACCCGATCTTTCCTATGGTTACTCGTACCCAAGCCGGCACAGGGGTGGTAGGGACAGGAGTTACTGGACCATAGGCTAACGACCACATTGGGGTCTATTTTATACCTGCAGTCATTACCCATACTGTTGCACTAATACAATTCCACACATTTTATTGACGAATTCCCATGTGAAATTCAACATGATTTTCATGTGACCACACATAAACAGAATCCACCCAGAAGCACACATGAAATTTATTAATCAAATGAATAGTATGAGTGGTTACACATAACTTTTATGTGTACACATATCAAGTATGTGTCCGACGCATGGATATCATTTGTTGATCACATTGCAAAAAATCATGTGTGGGGCACATAAAAACAATCTCTGAATTTCAAAATGGCGACAGACATTTAATTTTGACATCTGCAAGTCGTCCTGTTTCCGAAAATACCCATATTGTTGGGTATTTGACAGGTTTTTTTAACAGTTGGCCTCCATCTTGGACGCCACAATGGCATCTTGCATCAATTTTCGACCACTACTCGTCGTCCCGGTTCGGAAAATACCCATATTGTAGGGTATTTGAGAGTATTTCTAAAACAGATAGCCACCATCTTGGATTCTAAAATAGCATCTTGCATCGATATCAGCCCCCTGTTCCGGAAACACTCACATTGCACAGCAACATCCTATATGAGCAGGCTTTCGAGACATAGCATATTCTGAAAGTTTACATGCACACTAGCGCTACGTGGGTGACCGCAGTCACCACCGCGCTCTAGATCTCCGTGGTACCACACATCCTAGGGACGATGTTATCCGGACTGGGACGCTCTCTTGCAGGCGTACTCGACGTGGCAGCCGAAGCTGAGCTTATCATCGAGCATAACCCCCAAGAGTTTCAGAGAGCACACAGATCTAATTGTGCTCTCGCCAACTGTCAACGTCGCATGCTGCACAGACATGCGGTTGTTGACTACGACCACCTCCGTCTTGTGATGGGCGAGCTCCAGTTTCCTGGATCTCATCCATTCCTCCACAAGCTTAACGGAGTGAGCCGCTGTCAGCTCTACCTCTTCGAGGGATTCACCGTAAACTACCAGCGTGACATCGTCGGGCTAACCAACGATTTTCACGCCTACTGGGAATCTTATCCTCAACACTCCGTCGTACATGACGTTCCATAACACCGGGCTCAGTGGAAGTAGCTTTCCAGAATCTTGTACAGCCCTCCGGGGATTCGGAGTTGGTGTAGCGAGCGGGCTATCGCCCCCGAGCACGCGCTGTTGAACGCATTCTTCACGTCTAGAGTTACCACCGCGCAGTAACGAATACCCCTTCTTTTCCGTTGGATCACCTCTGCCGTCTGGATGACGTCACGGATGGCTTCCACCGTAGATCTGCCTTTTCGGAACCCGTACTGGCTGCTTGACAGGCCGTCTACACCTTCGGTGTAAGCCGACAGCCTGTTGAGGATGACCCTCTCAAGCAGTTTCCCAGTGGGCCTGTATACTGACGGGTCCCCATGTATCGACGACTGGATTTACGTCGATCTTACGACGTCAGCAGCGAAAGGGTGTTAGCTTGCTGGTTTCGTATTCAACGTTCTGCATTACAGACCATCAAATATTCAACCGGGAGTTTAGGCTATGAACTTCTAAACGACGTTCTATTTCGTAAACTCCTTGCAAGGGAATTTGCTTGGTTAGAATCGTCCTGCGTTACAGGCCAATTCTAATTCCAATGCGTGAAGTTAGCTATGTTCCACTTGCAGTACAAGTAAAGCAAAGAAACTTTCTCTAGAGCACAAAGTGAATTTGATGCAACGATGAGACTTCCTCACACCGACTGTATGAAAAAACACAGTAGGCTCTGCCCGCGAGCGGTTGGTTTTGTTTTCGCTGGCGCTGATTTCATCTGTTTTTTGCATATTTTTTAATTGTACCAAATCAAACAAATGTTAGTTTTCGCGTGTGGATAAGTGTAAATTAAGATCTATCACGTCTTAAGAAGTTTTTTTTAGTGATATTGTAATTAACGTGAAAAATCTGGGACAAGAATTTGTTTCGAGTAGCTGTGTTGCTGTGTTGCTTTGCCTCCCTCCCAAGAAGAGTTTTACCGGGTATTTTTTTTCTTTTCTTGGTGCTGGCGTTCTGCCTTCCTGAGGATGCACGCGAATTAGGTGTCAAGCAAAAATTCGGTGCAAATGAAAAACTTCGAATGTGATTCAAAATGTCGTGTTGGGTTGTAAAAACAACGCGGAAGATGTTTTCGATTACCACGAGTGAACAAACCGGTCCTTTTTTGGAGGCAGAATTTGGTGAGATTCATCTGATTTATAATCAATCATAAATGCATATTTCCATATATTACTAAATACGCGCCAGATTTTGAAACATCACATTTAGAAATCTGGAAGTGTGTTTGCAGTACCATTATTCATATGATAACGGTAGTGTTTACATGCGGGGCTTATTGTTATTGTTATTGTTATTGTGTCATGCTCAAGGGGGCATTGAGCCTGGTCCCCAGTGGAATTTTGGTGACCAATTATACACCTTCCATGCAGCAATCAGATAGATAAAGATGAGATGGCTCTTAGATAATGACTTATGCGAGTCGATTGAAATCAGCCGAATATTGAATGAGGGTTTAGGTGATCCTTAACATAGAAGCGTAGATGCATAGATGAAGGATAAGAGAAAGGAGAGAAAAAGGTATTGAAAAACAGAATTGGTAGAGAATGAGTGCTGATGAATATGCATTTATGTTTCATTTAGTTATAATGATTATCAATAATACTTATCGTATTATTGTATTGTATATAATCTAGTTATGATTATTGTCAATAATACTTACATTTCGATAAAGATGGTGCTGCCTACTTTACCTGTTATGTGATACTTATCATCACAGAGTCCAACCTTGAATAGCAGACCAGGTCCACTAACAAAACACTCGTTCCGAGAAGGGGTTTATGGTCTTCTTCTTCTTCTTCAGGTTCGCTCACCACCCGGAATGAAGGTTCGGTGCGGTTAGTAATATCAAACAGTGTTACATGCAAACGAAAAAACGAAAAAGAGATACAACCAGGATTAGTTTTTTAAAGTTATAGTTTCATCTGAATACCCAACTACCCATATCTCAGTGACATTGTACCACTCTGAACCCACACCTAAAGTTATTTTGTGATTATATGGTTACTTTGGTATTCAGATGAAATGTTGTGCAAGTACCAGAAGTTCAACAACGCCCAACTATGGACAGCTCAATGTTAATACCATTTACTCTTTGAATCAGCTTACACCAACATGATAATCTACTAAGAAACATCTAAGAATGTATAGAGATAAAGTTCAAAAATACAGTTTTAACTGATGGTACTTTATAAACGTCAAACTGTCCAATATTGGACCCTGCCAACAAACGGCGCCTGCACGGCAATGTGGGCCGTCAGAATGGTTCATCGGTTGCGAAGTGAAGTGCTTCTTAAACTGAAGCGATACATTTCTCAATATTTCAACGTTATCCTAACGTAAACTTAATATTATCGCCCATATGCCTGTCCACGCCCGAAACCCATCCACCACACAAAATCAAATAAAAATGTTTCTGTATGGCAAACACGTCCAGACATAAACGAGAATATGTGTGTATATCTTCACTGTAACAACTACGGGTAATCATCGAAAATACTTGCATTTTACTCAGGCACTTTTGAGCAAACTGCAATCACTCTCTCATCCTCGAAATGTGCCACGACCAAATTGGCACAACGACGCCCTATACGCTCTCTGAACAAAACGCAGGGTAGTGTTTACATGCGGGGCTTATTGTATGTGAAAGTAACCTCGGAATGGACGTGAATTACCAGGCATTCTGAAATGGGTTGCTGAATCTGCAGTAGAGCTATCGCTTTCTAACTCTCGGACTAAACTTGCTTTAAATTATTACATCAAGAATTGTTGTAAGCAAATTTCTTCCATAAGACCACTGCCGGCCAGTGGGGGTTAGATTGAATACACACACACATACACACACACACACGATGAGACTTCCTCACACCGAAGGAAAACCTTTTCGGATGAAATAAGGACTCGATCGATAATGGATAAGTACTGAAATCGTTAATATCTCCTCCCAAATCTTGGTAATTACCCAGTGAAACGCTCTAGTCAGTGCTTCACCCACGTATTTTATTAACTCGCTTAATAGTTGGTCAACACCAGCGGCTTTATTGCTATTTTTGAACTGACCGATCTGCCTACGCAAGGACAGGTGTCTTAAACTATTGTGTACGAGGCTTTGCATAATTTCTTCGCGGATTTTCTGGTGTTCGGATTGTCTATTGGTATTAATCATCAACAACAGTGCACTTTACTAGCTTACGTAAGGTATTATATTCATTTGAAATTCGCTGATTTTCTATCAATTTGTTATCTAAAGTGTTCTTATAATTTAATGGTTGCCATATTTGTTTGACCAAAGTTACATGTTTCATGAATGCTAACAACAAGGCTGTGGCCATGAGGACGTGGTAGAAACAAATTAAGAAATCACAGTGAAAAAAGTTGAAGTTGTGAGATAGCATTTCCCCTAACAAAATTCTAAATAGTTACCTAGCTAAAACATTGCAAACATTTTAGTGAAGAATTTTTTTTTTTTAAATAATAGTCAAGTTGGACTAGTAACAGAATAGGGCATTTTAAACTTAAAGGACTGTGATAACAATTTAAAATAAAGCTTACGATTTTGATAAATCAAAGTGAAGCTTAAAAGTTGGGATTTCCTTGAAGAATTAAGCGGTTCAAATAGAAACCGAAAACAAATTTAGCTTTTAGTTTAGTTACATTCACCGTGGAAATTAAATTTATAAAGCGGTAACACACACAAATTTCATCACAGTTATTCAGAATCGCACAAGCCTATCAAACCTGCCGGAATACTCTATAGAATTATCGTCTTTTTTATAAACTCATGAAACACTTTAAAAAGCGAAAATGAAGTGAAATCAACGGTAACACAAATAAAAAGTCCCGCATGCAACAGTACACCCCTTACTTCAACCAAATATCATCCAAAGTTTCGTCTCGTAGCTCCTCTACCGGCATCACTTGCAACGTCCGTAAGGTTTCCATGTAGAACGTCAGCTCCGACACAACCGTCGCGTGCTGAGGTCCTCCGTTGTTTGTGATATTGTTCCGAAGCAGCTGTTCCCGAAGTTTGTCCTTGAAGTTCTTATGTACCACCCGGTAGATGGTAGCTACCTGCTTATCGGGCAAGACCGGTGCTATCGCTTCGTGCAGTTTCACAAACTGCCGGCTGATGTTGCGGAATGGTTGCGATGGAACCGGAGGCCGAGCGTCCCAGTTGGCCAGCTGGTTTGTCACCAGGTCACAAACGATCGCCAATACTTTGTTTTCGATCTCCTTGATATGGGAAGCGAAATCCTTCTCGATTGAATCATACCCGGTGAGGATCGTTGTCGATCCAGATGAGGTTCCATTTGGTTCTAGCGATTGAAAGTGACGTTTTACGTGTGGAAGTAGCCACAGGACTAGCTGTAGGGCCCGGGATACGAGGGCAAGGTTACCGCTGGTAATTGTTTTAAGGCCGGCAACGTGCAGGGCACCAGCGCCGAGAACTAACTGGCAAGAGCGAGAATTGAATGTTCTAAGCAGGTCAATAACGTTGCGAGCCAACTGTGTTGCGATCACAGGCAACTGGGAAGCACAACGGCAATATTCACTAACAATTTGCACTAGTAACAAAGCGGCGCCGACCAGTGCAAAGGGTTGTCCGTCTACCAGCAGAACACCCTGTGGAGGTGGTGATGAAACCGGAGTTCCATTAACTTCCTTGCTTTTGTTTTTCCACAAAAATTCTCCCTTTGAAATGCTTTCCGCCATCTTCTGAAACTCTGTCGGCACTTCTGCTTGCTTCCACCGTTCGCTATCTAACAGCAAGGCCATTTTCGATTTCCTCTCCGAGTGGAACTTTTGAGCATATCTTGTACCCTGAGCTCTCAGTGCCAACTTCAGTGGAACGCTCTGAATCCCGCAAACATCTTCACAACCATCGCTGAATCGATCGACAATTTCCGTTAGCTTAGCTATCTGCTCCGCACTAACGGAACTCTTCTCCAAGCTTTGATTGGACACCAAATTGGCGCAACGTTCATGACAATAATTACACACACTTTGCAATAAATTACCTAGTTTCGTCTTGACCACTTCGTAGTCCTTCGTACAAAGGAATGCTTCCGTATCTATAAAACTTACATCGTCAGTTATTTTCCCGGCACTTGCGTCAGCTGTCTGTTGCATCACGTCGTACACAGATCGAACCCGTTTGAGCAGCTTCAGCAGCGTTCCCGTTGCCGTTTCCAACAACACAATCCACTCCGAAAGAGACAGACTCTGCGCCTCCTCCCCGGCACCTGTTAAGCAAATTTCTGCATCTCCGGAAGCGATCACCTCAATCACCATCTGTTTTACAATCGCCCGAACCGTCGTTATCGCCTCCTGCTTGTACGTGTCTATGAAATCCACATTCCGCTTCCGCAGCAACCCAGATATAATACAAATCAGCTTATCTTCTTCCAGAACCTTTTCCGCGGCCCGCTGACCACTGGCAAATGGTCGATTTAAGTCTGCCGTGGAATACCGTTCAAAGTCCGTCGTCAGCATCTTATCGATCAACCGTTCCATTTCACTCAGCTGCGAAGGCAGATGACGGAAGCAATGGATCCCAACCAGTTCCTGACTCAGAATCTCCTGAGTCGTGCTGATCAAATCCAGCGCCGCAACGTAATCCTGGGTGCTGAGCAACAACTGTATCATCGGTTGGGTCTGGTGGACTGTCGACATCAGTTTCAATCGCTCCAGGACGATATTTTTGTTGGACCTAATTCTTTCCAGGTGAATGGTTTGGAGCGACTCGCGAACGATGGTATCGTCGATTAGTTTTAGTCGAGAACGTAGCCTCGAAACGTGGGTGGCGGCCTCCCGCATCTGTTCCATAATGGCATCCTGCGAGGTCATCGCGTGGAAGAAGGCAGATGATTTTTCCGCTACCTGTAAACGGAAAATTGCGAGCGTTATAATGGATTGGTTTTTTTTTGTAAATAATTTTATGTTAACCCTATCCCGCCCAACACGTTTTGAAAAAACAGGCTTTAAAAACCAATATCTCAGAAGGGTCTTAAGATATTAACATGTTTTTTTTTTCAAAATTATAGTAGCACCACCGACGAAGTAGCACGCTGAGGCAAAGGAACGTTAGAATTCCATAAGAACCACTTATCCCACCGCATCCCGAACCTACCACCGCCTCCACTGAACATCGTAATCAAAATAGCCAACTGGACCGCTTGCTCGCTCAAGAGCAGAATCATTGAGTTCGTTGATTTCCTCAATGAACATAGCATAGACATCGCTGTCATCACCGAAACACATCTGAAGCCGGAGATAAATGTTCACCTTCCCGATTTTCGGCTCCTTAGGCTAGACCGGACCAGCTCCTGCGGAGGAGGAGTGGCTATCGCATTAAGGAGAAATATTGGCTGATGACTGCTACCGAGTTTCTAGCTGAAGATGATCGAAGCGGTGGGTGTGGAAGTCTCCACTCCTGTCGACCCTATTACCATCATTGCGGCCTACTGTCCCAAACAAGTCACCATCAGGGACGGGTCGGCAGCAGACCTGCGGAGAGACATCATCAAACTAACTCGACGCCGTGAGAAGTACATGAACGCCAAACACCAGGCTTGGGGCAATAGTCAACGACCTGCAAGAGGCTCACTACACTATAATAGCGCCAGACTCACCTACCCGGTTGAGCCGGTCTGGCGTTCACTCCACCATCGACATCTTCGTCAGTAACATGGGAGACAATATCTCGCAACCTGTGACCCACCAGGAGTTGAGTTCGGACCACTATCCGGTGGTGGCCGATGTTGGCTCATCCGTCAACCAATTCCAAGCTTCCCGACGCAACTACCATCACGTCAGCTGGGATCAGTTCCAACACTGTGTCAACTCCACTGTCGACTACGGTGTCCTTCGAGAGACGCCCGAAGACGTTGACCGGTGTCTGCATTCTATCGAGAAGGGAACAACACGTGCCAGTATCCTGACAGGTGAGCAATACTCTGAACCTTGACAGATCTACCAAAGACCTTATAAGACTCCGTAACACCATCCGAAGGCAGTACCAACGCTCTGGCCTGCCGGTTCTTAAGACCCACTGTAATCGCCTAACAAAACCATCCAGAACCTCAGAAAACAAAACTTTGCTAACAGGATCCGCTTTCTCCCAGATTGTGCAAAACCCTTTTGGAAACTAACCAAAATTCTTAAAAAAATAAGCCAAGACCCATTCCACCACTGACCCCACTGGATAGTCTCGGCGACCCATTGGTTCATCTGATAACTCCTGAAGAGAAGGCTGTCGTGATAGGTCAACACTTCGTCAGCTCCCATAAAAAAAGCACATCAATACAAGACAGGAGAAACGTAGAATTAAAAGTTCTTCAAATCTTCTTGTGTTACCAAAATATTTATCATTCTCCAAATTGTCTTGGAGATATTTACAGGTTAATAGAAATTTTGTTCGATTTCCACTAAAAATTTTTGAGCGTTTCGTGCTTCGCGGATACTTATAACATCATTCTAAATTAATGATTGTGTTTAAAAATAACATGGTTGGATTATTCCAATCATTCTAGATATCTTGAAGTTCTGCATACTCAACAAGGTATACGGTGATTCGGCTTAATGATGCAACATTCGTGAAGCTCCATAACATATTTTGTTTGGTTTATAAGGCATTCCAAATTGGCTGGAGGTCAGATCTTATTTTTTTCTATAGTCATGACTTTGGCGTGAGAGGTATGGATTAAAATCTTCATGTTTTACAGACTAACCAAGGCATTCTACGATGTTCTGACTTATCTTATCTACCTGGTTAGCACAAAGTGCAGACATTAATTTTTAAGTTATCTCTGGACCAAACATCTCATTTTTTTTTAAGTTCGTTGATTGTATCATTTTCAAATATTTACATGTCTAGCATGATCGGAATTGCAAGGAGTTTGAGATCGTACATTTTTTTATTGGCATGAATCTTTTTCTCTAAATATCTTCAAGTCGAGCAAGAGAAGCTTCGTAACAGGACAGACAAACAGACATAACACACATTCGTAGCCGTAGGTACAAATATCACCCCTGCTTCAAATGTTTCATCTGTACCTACTCCCCTCGCTGCTAACAATGTTCAGCGAGTTAATGGAGCTACCTATGCTGCTATTGCAGCGGGTAGAAATCAAAATACTAACCAAAGTAATTCTAACGGAAATTTTGACAAATTTGACTTAGGAAGCATTATTGCGCCTAAAATGGAATTTTTACAGAAATCATTAATTGATATGATTTCTGATATGCTTAAATCTAACTCCATGTTTGATGCTATTCAAACTGGAGTAAAATTTGCAAATAATATTGTCATGACTTTAAAATTCAGTAATGGATTTTAAAGCATTAAATATTGTAAATTGGAATGCTCGATCTCTTAAAAATAATGAAGACGAGCTATTTAACTTTTTGAGAGTTCATAACGTGCATATTGCCGTTATAACTGAAACGTTCCTTAAACCTGACCATAAGGTTAAGAAGAACGCAAATTACTTTATTTATAGAAATGATCGTCTTGATGGACCCTGTGGTGGCGTTGCCATCATTATTCATAGACGAATCAAACATAAAATTCTTTCTTCATTTGAAACCAAAGTTTTTGAAACTTTGGGAGTTTCTGTTGAAACAAAATTTGGACAACTTACGTTTATAGCTGCCTATTTGCCATTCCAATGCGTAGGCCAGCAAAAGAATTTTCTCAAGGGTGACCTTCAGAAACTTACCCGTCATAGGTCTAAATTCTTCATTATTGGTGATTTTAATGCAAAACACCGCTCATGGAATAATGCTCAAAGCAATTCCAATGGTAATATTCTGTTTGATGATTGTTCTGCAGGTTATTACACTATTCAATATCCAAACAGCCCAACATGCTTTTCTTCTGCAAGAAATCCCTCCACTATTGATTTGGTCTTAACTGATGCATGTCAACTTTGTAACCAACTGGTTACCCATGCTGACTTCGGTTCTGATCACCTTCCAGTAACTTTTGAAATATCCCAAGAAATAATTTGTAATCCCAACAGCTCTACTTTCAATTACCATAGAGCTGATTGGGAGCAGTATCGAACATTTATGGAATATAACCAACAATCAATACGAAACTAACGATTTTAAATTGGCTCACCACTTTAGTAGCCTATTGGTCCCAAGCAAACGATTAACGTACCCTATTCTAGTTGAAATTCTATGACTACACTATGTTTGTTTTGATTCGCTATGAAAGTTTGACAGATAACATCAGGGGTGTGTGGATTCATGCAGAACATGCAGGGGTGAGTGAAATAGCTTGGGACTGCTTGGGACCGTTGTTCTGGTACTGAGTGAGCCAAAAATAATAATGATTTTCTTCGGGACCCAGTGGTCTTAGAGTTACCTCTATGATATAACTTCGATCGAAACATTCCTTTGCAAACCAAAGATGAAATTAATTATGCTCTTGAATCTCTGACTACTTCTATAGTTGCAGCAAGAGCTGCCTCAGTACCAAAATGCGAGGTTAAATTCGATTCAATTATAATAGACGACGATCTTCAGCTCTTGATCCGTCTTAAAAATGTCCGTAGGAGACAATATCAAAGAACACGCGATCCTGCCATGAAGGTTATCTGGCGGGATTTGCAAAAACAAATTAAAAAGCGATTCTCTGCCCTGAGGAACAAAAATGTTGAAAATAATGTTTCTAAATTAGACCCGAGTTCCAAACCCTCAAACTCACAAAAATTTTGAAAAAACCTCAAAAGCCTATTCCAGCGCTTAAAGAAGGTGGTAAAATTTTGATCACAAATTTGGAAAAAAGCTCAGAAACTTGCTAAGCAATTCGAGAGTTCCCATAATTTCAGTTTGGGTCTTATGTCTATTGAGAATCAGGTTGCTCGGGATTTTCTGAATATTTTCTCTCGGGAAAATATTTTTGATGATTCCTGGGGGACTGATTTGGACGAAGTAAGGTCTTTAACTAAAAAGTTTCAAAATATGAAAGCTCCAGGTGATGAGGGAATTGTCTATATCCTCATCAAAAAACTCCCAGAGAGTACCTTGTCTTTCTTGGTAAAATTATTTAACAGATGTTTCCATTTGGCATACTTTCCTGATGAATGGAAAAATGCAAAAGTTGTTCCAATTTTGAAGCCGGATAAAAATCCAGCTGAAGTTTCTAGCTACCGCCCAATAAGTTTACTTTCTTCAATAAGTAAACTTTTTGAAAAGATAATTTTGAACAGAATGATGCTTCACTTCAATACGAACTCAATTTTTGCAGATGAGCAGTTTGGATTTCGCCATGGGCATTCAACTACTCATCAACTCTTAAGAGTTACCTATTTAATTCGTTCAAACAAATCGGAAGGCCACTCAACTGGAGTTGCTCTTCTAGACATATAAAAAGCATTCGACAGTGTTTGGCATGAAGGTTTGATTGCTAAATTGAAAAAGTTTAATTTTCCACTTTATATTATGAAATTAGTTCAAAATTATTTAACTGACAGAACTCTGCAGGTAAATTATCAAAATTCCAAATCTAATCGACTACCTGTTAGAGCAGGAGTTCCTCAGGGTAGCATTCTTGGGCCAATATTGTATAACATTTTCACTTCGGACCTCCCTGATTTGCCTCAGGGTTGCCACAAATCTTTGTTCGCTGATGACCCTGATGACACAGGCATTTCCGCTAAAGGAAGAAGTCTTCGTGTTATTTGCAGCAGACTGCAGAAAAGTTTAGATATTTTCTCTTCTTATTTACAAAAATGGAAGATTTCTCCCAACGCTTCCAAAACTCAACTTATAATATTTCCACACAAGCCTAGAGCTTCGTTTTTGAAACCTAGTAGTAGTCACATAGTCACTATGAACGGAGTTCCAATTTCCTGGTCAAACCAAGTGAAATATCTTGGATTAATACTTGACCAAAAATTAACTTTTAAAGATCACATTGAGGGCATTCAAGCCAAATGTAACAAATATATTAAATGTTTGTATCCTCTTATAAACAGGAAATCCAAACTTTGCCTGACGAATAAACTTCAAATATTTAAACAAGTTTTTAGACCGGCCATGCTTTACGCTGTGCCAATATGGTCTTGTTGTTGCACTACCAGGAAAAAAGCACTTCAAAGGATTCAAAACAAAGTTCTGAAAATGATTTTGAAGTTGCCTCCCTGGTACAGTACTACTGAGGTACATAGAATTTCGAATGTTGAGACTTTAGAACAAATGTCCAACAAAATAATGAATAATTTCAGGCAAAAATCGTTGCAATCCTCAATTGCAACGATTAATTCCCTTTATACTTAGATAAGATTTAGTTTTAGTTTTTAGTTTTTAGATATCAATTGTTATACTGACATGCAGGTTAAAAAACCTGTTTAAAATACTGAATTGCCAAGACATGAACAATGTAAAAACACTTAGATATATATCATAACAATTAAGGCTGGTACGTTACTGCAGTAACTGGAGCACCTAGGTTAAAAATGAAATGTAATTTATTTTGAATTTGGAACAAATAAAGAGTTGAAAAAAAAACAGACATAACATTGAATATTTTTCACTGTAAAACATCTTCGCTAACACATTATCGCCATCTGTTGAGTGCACTATGGTGGGTAGTACCATAGAGGTAACTCTAAGACCAGAAGGTCCTGATGAAACGTGCTCAACTTTTTGGCACAGCTCTGGTACTCTCCTCGATCCCAAGCTAATCGATGCACCCCTCGAAACATAGGAACATCCATGAACCCCTCATTTATCTGTCAAAATTTCATAGCGAATCAAAACAAACATAGTGTAGTACTAGAATTTCGACTAGAATGGGATACGCTTATATATGTACTTGGGACCATAGACTAGTCAAGTAGTGAGTCAAATTAAAATCGTTGTCGTTCTGTACGTTAAACATAACGTCGGACATAGTTACAGCGCACGGTTCCGCTACGGAGAAGCGAATGCATACCGAGTATGGCCAGGTCCTGTTTGGCCAATCAGCTGGATTACCGAGGTGAAGCAATCGGTTATGTTGTGTGAGTTAACCCCTTGTACGATACGAGCAATAAATGACGTTATTAATTGCGTTTACGTTGATTTTTTGGTTTACTAATACAACAATATTTCACGATCTGCTTCACCTCTCTCTGTACCTCCTTGCTGTTTGGCGTCCAACAACGATGTCTTCTCGGTCGCGGATGACTGTGGCTTTGGTTAGAAGCACAGACTGATGAAATCTGTAGCAACAATTGCCGCCAACAAGCGCGAGTCATTGACAGCTCAACATCGTTTACTTGTAAGCAAATGTTAGCCCGATGTGTTCACCCGTAATCATTTTGACCTATGGTCTTTCATTATACAAAAGAAGTGCAGATAACAACGAAAACGACATAATAACATGCTGTTTGACAACAGGCTCTCCCTTTCAATTTTCGTTAGAGAAAAAGAGATAACAGGCGGTACCCCAATAACATCAACTACTTTAAGCTAGTACATATGAGTAGATACCCGAGCAAAGTCCAGCATCAAAATGACAGCAAATCGAAATCAAGTTTTGATATCAACATCAAACTGAAATCATAATTTGATTTCGGTTTACGCAATTGATAAATTTGATACCTAATTTTGTTTTCATTTTGTTGTACATTTGCTCTTCAAAAATATGTTGTTGCGGGTTTTCATTGCCTTAGCATAACATCAAATTGAATTCTTGTTTGGTTATCAACAGGAAAAATTGATATCAAATTGAGTTTTCAGTTTACTCTCACTGATATCAGAAATAGTTTTCAATGTGATGTCACAGGAAGATTGCTTTGCTCTCAATTTTGACATTTTAACCCTAGTTTTAACCGTTAAAACGACCAAAACGACAACAACCTGAGCAATCATTATCAGCGAAATCACAACATCAAATTTAGATTTCAATTTGATCTCAAACTTTGCTCGAGCCGCCACTTAAAGTGGTATGTGCACTTAATTTTTATCTTTATGCTGCACTGCCGCTTTTCGCATGTCGGTCAAGCGGTAGGACAGCTCATAATCTATTTATTTATTTCGTCAAGCAAAGTGACTACATGCAATGGTAACAATGTTTACTTACATACTATGCTAGACAAACAAAATTCGGAAGCGAGTTAATTTTCCCAACCAAAATTCATATCAAATGGTTCTTTTCAGGGCAATCATAGACATACTAAAGAGTAAAAACAGAGAGAATCCCGCTAAAATTTCTATTCCTACACAGCAAAACACAAGCTCCTGCTGCAGTTAACAAAAATATGTATTATATCATACCACGTAGTCCTACATCATCATTGCGTACAACCCCATTGGGCTGTCCCTTGTAGTTTTTTTAATTCTGCTAAATCCTGCTCCTAGGGAACTCACCTTTATATTCATTTGTCATACTCCTAAGGTCCTAAGAAATTAATTTGAATTATTCTCAGAATTGAATATATTTCTTAATTCGCTTTGGATTTTCTCCTTCCATTGGAATTCAACTTACAGGTTCTAAATTCTCCTTATAAATTAAATGAAGTTTTACTAACATATTCCTTAGATTTAGCATAGTATATGCAATTAGTACAAATCGTGGGTGGTCAACTATCCTCACAAATACTCCTCCGAATTTCTCCTCGGGAAGCTTCTTTGAAAGGCAGTGATTTTATAGCAGTTCACCGATCCTTGTGCAAGTTGAGCGAATTCTATATAAATTCGAGAAAGTTTGCAAAAATTCATTGAAGAGGAAGGAAAAGTTAGGAGTGAGTTGTTGGTTCTCAGTTCAAGTGAATCGAATCACCAATTTGGTAAGAAATGAGCATCTTTTGCGAATTGCCTCCTAAAATACGTCGTCATTCCTAAATGGTCCCAATTCGATAGTCCAATGGAAAACTACATACGTGTACAGCAGCCTTAATTTTCCAAACAGTGTATATTCAAGCAATTATCATCTGTCTTAGCTACGGATATACATCCATGCCTTCAAGTACACGACAGTTAACTGAGAAAATGCCACTGTTGCCCAAAACAATTCACGTTTCATTTCTACCTTGAGTTGACTAACTCGCACAGCCAAGCTGAACTGATAAGAGTATAAAAGAATGGAAAAAAAAACACACTGAAGGTACTGACCTGTTTCGCTATCAGCACCTCCACAATATCCAGGTAGTGACTAAGTTTTTCCTGTAGTAATCGGCTCGACTGTTTGGCCTGTTCGCCATCATTTCCAATGCCCGGAAAGACAGCCACAAACGATGCCGGGCTGTGCAGTTCCAAATTATGCTTCAGGAACACCTCGGGAATGTCCTTCAGATTGGCAGTTGCCCCATTCGGTAATCGATCACTCACGACCGGTTGCTGGTGCTGTTGAGCCTGATTTTGACTAGAACTATTCGGTAGCGCGGTCTTTGCTATCCGATTGTGAACGCGATAGCGTTTGCCAATCCGTTTCAAATAAAAATCGAAATGGTCCCACTTGATGTCGGGCAATTGCGGTGATGTTCCGATCGATTGGTTCTCCACAAAGGCATCGCCCCATTTTTTGGTGAAAAAGTGAGTTTGCTTACTACGGCTGGGATCGTTCAGTACAGCCGGCAAATTCTGAGCCGCCGAAAAGACGGACCACTTGACCTGCGATTCCTTCTGTTGTTGATTTACGTGGCAACGGTTGACGTGCATTTCGTAATCCCTATCACTGACTCCATCCAGTGGAAGCGATGAACAGACCCCGTTATAGCCATAGCGACAAACATACGATCCTCCCTCCACGGTGCAATGATGCTGGCGAAGATGCCTACAAAGACCAAATAGGTATAATAAGACACTGTCACGACATACGTTGCGAAACTTATGAACTTGTTTCTAAAGGTGGCAAGAACCGGCTGTGTACAAAAATCTGGATAAACGTGAAATTCATCATTGTTACAAGTCCACCGTCCGAGCAAAACAAATTTCGAATTTTAATGATGAGCTCGCATACGCACCACAAGCTAAACAGTGAACCGTTCTACTCGCGGCAGTGACGATGGCTATCACTGTCTAACTGGGGGGCGAAAGCAATTTACATCAATTAAAACTGTTCAAATAGAGATCGAACATACCTCACGAAATCCGCTGGTGTTTTGAAGGAAAGCAATTGCTGACTCTGCTGTATTGGCTGTTTCTGGAGCTGCTGCTGACGAAGGTTCGACGTCGCTGTGGCGGAGGAGGAAGCGGACGAGGACGTTGACGTAGAACTACCACAGTAGCAGCAGTTTTGCCATGGTGGTGGCTCCTTCAGTTCGAATGATCCGCTGAATTTAGCCATTGCCACATGATGAATGTCGGATTCAACTTCCTCCCTAAATCGGCACTTTTAGCAGCAGTTTTCACCAAAAACTACTTATAATTTCATATGAACAATATTCGAAAATGCACAAAAATCGTACGATAACAGCTCCACCAAATGCACCTGACACGATTAGCAGAGAAGAGTGACAGTTCTCAGAAACGTCACACAACTTTTGTTGACCCAATCGTAGAAGAGGGGATAGCTGGTTGGTTCAACTAACATCATTAGGCCAACTTTAAACATGAAACTCAAATAAACCTCGCTCAAAACTCACTCACCGACAAACCGACATGAATGACCATACAAAGTATCATCAACAATCAATACGAAACTAACGATTTTAAATTGGCTCACTACTTGACTTAGCCTATTGGTCCCAAGCAAATCGATTAACGTAGTATAAATTCCAGTACTACACTATGTTTGTTTTGATTCGCTATGAAAGTTTGACAGATAAAATTAGGGGTTCATGGATTTTCCTATGTTTCGAGGGGTGCATCGATTAGCTGGGGACCGAAGATAGTACCAGAGCTGAACCAAAAAGTTGAGCTCGATTCTTCGGGACCTTCTGGTCTTAGAGTTACCTCTATACGCCTTTTTAATGCACCACCAACGTAGAGTGCGCCACGCGAGTTCGAGAAGAAACGTCAACCAAACCGTTTGTTTACATATGTGATATCAGAATAAGTATTTTCCCCAACGCAAATAACAGCATTTTTCATTCAAAATCTTGCCAATTTCCATCGGCAATTGTCTTATTGTACGATTTTCCACAAATCTGAACTGATTTGCACCTTCACTATTCACACACAAGAATTCCGGAAGATCATAACCACTAAGGCACTTTTCTAATTTTTAATTTTTCGCAACAAAAATATTCCTGAACACCAGCAGGACCTTTTCCAAAACGTTACAGAATTAAATTTTTCAACTGTAGATTAAGTTTTGCAGCATCGCAGATGAATCAATTTATCAGGAAAAGTAAAAAAGTGTTCCGCTTCCTACACGAAACGAAAATCAATTATTTTATTCATGTGTTTCACTTATACATTTTTGCCATTACATCAGCCTTATACATTCCATAAGACAAACCACATAGGTCCTATAAGAATGCAGAAAAGGTATGTGTGACCGCTTATACATTTCATTCAACACATGATCTTCATTAACTTTTTGCAAGGCGTCTGCTTATTAGTTGACTTATACATTTTATGAATAATCAGCAATAGAAATTTGCCAAAAGGTATAAGGAGATTTCTATCCGTGTATGTCTCAAGGCAAAAATTTATGCTCACAACACTCTTTTTGAAGTTCTCCTATTCACCACCAGAGGTTGAATCGATCGTTTAGTTTCTATTAAAAAGGCCTATTGGCAAATCAAAGTTGGCACTCGTGGAGAATAGACGAACTATGAAAGTGATGATGGTTTCAAAATTTTCCACGGAGAGGTATACGAGTGCTATCTTAAAATGCTTTTATTTTGAAAATGGAGCATTTTATTTAAATCTGGTTAGTGCTACGTTAGTAGAAAACTGGAGGACTACTCAATAGACATATAATATAAAAATAATAATTTTTTTCAGATTTTTAGGTGTATACATAGATTTCAGCTTTTCTACAACTGTAGCAGCAACCAGATTTAAATAAAATGCTCCATTTGCAAAATAAAAGCATTTTAACATTGCACTCGTATACCTCCCAGTGGAAAATTTTGAAACCATCATCACTTTCATAGTTCTTCTATTCTCCACGAGTGCTAACTTTGATTTGCCAATTGGCAAATCAAAGTTGGCACTCGTGGAGAATAGAAGAACTATGAGAGTGATGATGGTTTCAAAATTTACCACGGAAGGAAATTGCCGGTGAAGCACGGAATGAAATACGAAGCGTTAGAGAAAAAGTCCAAAGGATTCCAAAAGAAGTAATCAACGACGGCGGAAGAGCAGAATATGGTGAGAGCTTTCCAATTATTAAAAAAAATATATCAAAATTAAACTAAATAGGTACATGCCATGTTTGAAAAAATTAATGTTCGAACCTGGAAGCGTGTATGTCATACCAATATCCATTTGATAACGGTGATGCATACATGCGGGGCTTATTGTAAGTGAAAGTAACCTCGGGATGGGCGTGACTCTCCAGACATTCTGAAATGGGTTGCTGGATCTGCAATAGAGCTATCACCTTCTAACTCCCGGACTAAAGCTGTCTACAATAACCATAAATGCGACATTGTAGAGAGAGTTATTCCATAATAACACTGCCGGCCAGTGGGGGTTAGATTAAATACACACATACATACATACGTATACAGCGTATATTCGCTAAGTCAGGTAACACAGTAGAATGGGGTACGTCAATCGATTTGCTTGGAACCAATAGGCTAGTCAAGTAGTGAGCCAATTTAAAATCGTTAGTTTCGTATTGATTGTTGGCAATAGGCTCGATTTTAAAGTATCGCAACAATAGGACCAGTCAGCTGTTTCCCATACATGACTTACACGCTATTTTGAGGCTACTCAGTGACTGGGTAAATCGCACTCATTTTTGCTTACTGCATGGAGTTGTCATAGAATTAGTAAACTGGTTTTGCAACGATGAGTGAAATCTACCCAGATTCTGGGTAAATGATTCTGATATTTTTCTAAGTTCAAGATGGCGTAGTTGTGAACATTCGATTTTTGCACTGTGAGGCAAAAATCAATTTTTAGTGAAAATGGACCAGCTACGTAATGGCCTGGCTTACGAAAGCTAACGGAAATCTAAATCATCCGCTAGTTGCCCAAATAAAAAAAAAATCATTAAAGAGAGCTTAACGACGTGTTCGGGGTATCATCCAAACCATTTGTGGGATAGTTTACCCATCCGGGATACAGTTCGTTTATAATATTTGTTTATTAGGGTGGTGATTCATTAAACTCTAACAAACAGCTCCCGAAGATATGTGAACAAGGTTTGTTGGAAGCCATCGAGGCTGAAGCAATTTAAATATATATTATCTATTGTTTTTTTTACTGCTTGTTAAAACTGATTGATGGGTTACAACTCAGTTTACGAAATGTACTAACAAATACAGGGGCCTCCCTTAGCTCAGTCGGTAAAGGCGCAGCTACAAAGCAAGACCATGCTGGAGGTGTCTGGGTTCAATTCCCGATCCGGTCTAGGAATTTTTCGGGTTGGAAAATTACTCGACTTCCCTGGGCATAGAAGTATGATTGGACTTGCCACACAATTATACCAATGCAAAAATGGTACAGGCATCGAAAGCTCTCAATTAATAACTCGACAGTGAGCATGCATAAGGGCCTATACGCGATGATCGATTCTCTTCGTCGATTTTCTCTTTTGTTAATAACTCGTTAGATTTAACGTTTCTCGGTGTGTTTGCTGTTGCTTTTGATAGCCAATACAACCTGTTACTACTCTGCATTGAACAAATTCTTGAAAATTGTTTCGCTTAGCTGTAGCAATGCAAAGAGAAAATCGATGAAGAGAATCGATCATCGCGTATTCGCCCTTATGAATGCTCACTGTCGAACTGAGGAAGTGCATCTAGAACACTAAGTTGAGAGCACGCAATAAGCTAATATGCGATATGCAATAAGCTTGAAATGCGAATAAGAAGAAGAAGACTAACAAATACAGAGTTATCATGTTGATCCCCCTTATTCTGCGAGTCACGTGACTCTCTCTCACCGGTGAGGTGACAATAGTCACCTCGTGTGAGGTGACTCTCCATTTGATTTACATGGAGAGTCACCTCACACGAGGTGACAATTGTCACCTCACCGGTGACAGAGAGTCACGTGACTCGCAGAATAAGGGGGGATATTGTGTTTTTTTTTAATATTCTTCCGGGACAAAATAATTTATATATAAAGCATTCATGGGGCATTCATTCTTTTCTATCGAAATGGGTATGGTTTACCCAGTTTCCTCCATAGGTACGTTTACTCAAATTTGAGTAAACGTGCCTATGGAGGAAACTGGGTAACGGTTACTCAAATGATGACATTTATCAACTGAGTAAACCTTACCCATTTCCATAGAAACGAGTGAATGCCCCATGAATGCTTTATATATAAATTATTTCGTCCAGGAATAATATAAAAAAAAAACATTATGAAATGATGATTAAGTATTTATTGATACCAAAACAAACTTGCTGCTTATAGGGTAGAGAACTACTTCAGCCTAATCGCCCATTTTGGACCTATCGAGCAAAAACTTCAAATAAATCCATGATTTCAGAGTTAACAAGTCAATTATGCGTTTGGTACGATACTTGAGTTAATAAGCTACCGAACGAAGTCAATAAGAACGCGTGATATGAAGGTTTGCACCCATTATTCTCAAAAACAAAAGAAGCGCTCCGACCGAATCAATTTTTATCTTCATCCGATAGGCCGAAGCGAATTCATTGGCGTTTCAATGGGGTTTCAATGCGTTAGGCCGAGTTTAGAATCCATAGGCCGAGTTTGGCGTCAAGAAGCAGTGTTAGATTTTTGACAAATATCTCAATGATTGGTTTCTCTTTATAAAATCTTATGGTACGTACGGAAAGGTAAATAAATTTGGAAGCCATCAGTAATAATAACATTCCGTTTGGTGCTAAACTGCGCTAGATTAAGGAAGACTAAGTGCGGGTTGTGCTTAGTAGGCCGGAAATGGGGTAGTTAACCCTACACGGTTAGAAAAAAGTGCCCAAAATTAAGTTCTTTTCACTCATTTCGGCACTATAGTGCAGGAACCCAACAGTAGGTAAAGCGGGTCAAAGTAATTTTCATTCACTTGTGTGCAGTTCGTATGGAATTTTCCACTGGCTTTTTAACCAAAAGTAAGTTAGTTGTACCCAACAGTAGGTAAATATGATTATACTCAACGTTGGGTTCCCACACTTTACTACCCCTGTTGGGTGGTTTTGCTCGTCCGTTTTTGACAACATTAGTAGGAGAAAAGGAGACAAATTAGTCAAAAGTAGGTAAAAGTGAACTGGCCGTTGGGTACTTTTTTCTTACCGTGTAACTTTCGTCATCTAAACTATTACCAACCGGTGGAAACTAACTAAAAACTAATTTTAGGCTCACTGCGCAAAAATCGCATGTTCACTACTTCAAAGTGGGCCATTTTGAACTTAGGAAAAATTGATTTCAGAACCATTTACCCAGAATCTGGGTAGATTCCACTCATCGGAGCAAAACCAGTTAACTCATTTTTTGACAACTCCATACAGCATGCAAAAATGAGTGCGATCAACCCAGTCACTGAGTAGCCTAAAAATAGCGTGTAAATAAATGATCACCTCCTCCACCATCGTAGACGTACACACTAAGATTTTTTTTACAGTATACTGTAATTTTTTACCGAATATGGAACAGCTGAACATTCGGTAATCTATTCGGTAATTTTATTATTTACAATCCGTTCAGTAAATTTCCTTTACTCTTGAGCTGTCAAAATTTACTGAAATGGATTGTAAATTTTACAGAATGATTGGTAAAGTTCACAATGGCGTTCGGTATCATTTTTACCGAAATAACTGTAATTCATTATTTTCCTGAATGTACCAAAATTATGATTTTTATTGATTTATTGATTATTTCTTCCATGTGTTTTCTTAAAATTAAAATGATGACAGAACAAACGATTCGTTTGACTCATTAAACGTAATTTTTTGTATATTATCATCGTACGTTCGTACAAAAATAATATTCAACAGAGAAGGACGATGTTTCTGACTCCGTAACAAACCATACAAAAATTGGTTTTTTGCGTTTGATAAGGAAACTGGGCCGCCAATCCATGGTGACTGAAAGCAATTGGTATAGAAGTTCACTGAAAAATTAACCTTTCGCCATAGGTTTAACGGATTGTAAATAGTCAAAAATAGTAAATTACTCACTTTTCACATCGGAGAACCGAAGAAAATTCAACTTTGAAATGGCGGCAAATACTGAGATTGACAATATGCAATTTACAATCCTGTTCGGTAATGTTTACAAAAATCTGTTACTTTACTACGGTTTGCTTTTGTAAAAGATTATTTTTACAGTACATTTGCTACACTTTTTACAGTATCGCTGACTTACAACCCGTTACAGTTTTGATCAGTAATTTTCATTTACAGTTTTCGGTAAATTTATGCAATTTGCGGAAATTCAGCAGTTTTGATTGCGGAGAATTGGTAAAATCATATGTTTTACAAAACTTTCGGTGAAAATGATATTTTACAGAACGTATCCAGCAAAAAAAGTACCGAAAAATATTTGAGATTTTGGTGTGTATATTGCTATACTCAATACATCGCTGCACTAATAAAAAATTACCATAAACAAACGATAACCCAAACGATTGAACTATTCCACAAATGGTTTGGATGATAACCCTAACACGTCGTTAGGCAAATTAACCATAACATTTTTTTTTATTAGGGCGGTCACAACTTCTGCAGGATACAGGCGCAAAGGAGGTCATCATTTAAAAATAAATTGCCTTTGGATATATTATTAATATTATAATTCTAAAATGCACATTTTGCGTTTTATTATTCACATGAAAGCACTAAGATATTTGATTTACTGTTCTTTTTGTTTTGGCCACCATTGCAAATGTCACGTAATATCACACTATGAAAATAGGCTTAAGCATATTCAGTTTCGATTTCCTCTTCGTCGTGGAACATGTCTGGAAATATGAAAAGATAAAAAAAATCATGCATTAACTGTAAATGTGATTACCATTGGAAGAAAATGTTGTGGTGTTTTTATAATGGATTAGAGTACAACCAACAATCAATACGAAACTAACGATTTCAAATTGGCTCACTACTTGACTAGCCTATTGGCCCCAAGCAAACGATTAACGTACTCCATTCTAGGCGAAATTCTAGTACTACACTATGTTTGTTTTGATTCACTATGAAATTGTGACAGATAAATTGAGGGGTTCGTGTATTTTCCTATGTTTCGAGGGATTTTTTTTTTTTCCTTTGATTTGTTTTTTCCGTCGATCTTGTTTTCCGTGCTGAGCACCAATGCTACCGACGTGCCAGGAAGGCAGCTCCCACACCTGGACCCTACCTATCGACCCATCAACTCATGAACCGGGGACCAACGGCTTTACTTCCCATCCGAAGGAAGGCGTGATCAGAGATGTTATGCCTCAGAACATCCCGGCGGCGCCGACAGGGGTGAGAAGTAATCACGCTTACCACTACACCACCGGCGCCGTTATGTTTCGAGGGATGCTACGATTAGCTTGGGACCGAAGAAAGTACTAGAGTTGAGCCAAAAAGTTGAGCACGTTTCTTCGGGACCTTCTGGTCTTAGTGTACCTCTACACGCAGAAAAAAATATTTTAAACGTAATAATATTTGACGTAAAATCATTAAGAATTTCATTTTGTTTTGGCTGCAAAAAGAAATCATTATTGTTTCAACAATCCAGTATTTTTGTTCCTCAAAACCCATGGATTGTTAAATCAAAAAGAAAATCTTTTCGAATTTACAAGAGCTTTCATGGTTTTGACGTAAGCTGTCAAATTTGGCAGCTGGGTCAACAATAAAAATATGTTTGTTTTTAAAAGAGATTTCTTGTTGATTCAATCATATTTATTTTATGAAGTCTGAAAATTCACGCAGTAGAAATAAAAATATGTTTATTGATTCAAAAATCCGGGGTGATTTGAGATTTGGGTGTAATTGCTTTTGAAAACAAACACGTCAATCACTGATTTCTTTTGAATAAAAGCTCAATCTCACAAACAAACTAAACCAAATGATAGAGGAATCATTCCTCTACCGCATAGTGTTAATACTTTTCGAGATTGAGCTTTTATTCGCGAGAAATCGGTGATTGACGTATTTGTTTACAAATGCAATTACGCCCAAATCTCAAATCACTCCGGAAATAATATGGCATTTTTTTATGTTTTGTTATCTTTTTCACTGATCATCCTTCGGAAGGGAAGTAAAGCCGTTGGTCCCCGGTTAATTAGTTGATGGGTCGATATGTAGGGTCCAGGTGTGGGAGCTGCCTTCCTGGCGTCAGGAGCATTGGTACTCAGTACGGAAAACAAGATCGACGAAAAAAAAAAATCAAGGAAAAAAACAGAAAATTGATTATATTTAGCAACTGCAGCTTGAACTGCAGCATACTTACTTACCTCAAGTCTCAAGATTTTCGGAAATTTTGCACTTATTTCCCGAAATTCACAAGTTTTGTTATTGTTTACACTTTTGTCCGGGTGAAAACGAGGGAATGGTTGGTAGTTATTTTTGCATTCATGGCCCGGGGAATGGACACAGCAAATAAATGCTAAATTAAAATGAACTATTTTTGGATTAATAATAGAATATAGTTATTTTTACAATAGTTGCAGTTGAAAAGTGGCTTATTAAAACAAAAAGAATCCTACTTTGAATTTATATGAATAAGTATTATTGAAACAACGAAATGCAATATAATTTCAACCGGAATTGTTTGTTTAAATACAACTAAAGTTTTGTTTGGTTCAATGCAAACAATTTTCTGTCCGTGTATGGTACAACAAGGTATTTAAATATTATCATTTTGTTTTTTCTTTATTTATGAGATTTTTAGCCATAGGCTGGTTCATCTCTGATAAATATGATCATAAAAAGACTGGTCTCCCCCCAGTACATTGTATGCTATAAATAACTGTTTTTCGGAATTATGAAATCATTAGATGTTATAACGATATTTTGTACTTGTATCCCGTGACGTGGGTAGATCACCTTTTCGTGGTACGTTACGGGATGTAAGATCTACCACCGAATCCTAGTCCTGCCTGCTTCAAACTAGGGGAACAAGATTTTTCAGTAATCAAAGGACCATATCTTAGTCCTTGTTACTTTTTATGCCTTGTTGATAGTGACAAGACTCGGCTTTGTCCACCGAGGATGATCTTGAAACAGGGAAAAAATTAGTGTCTTTTCTTTCGTGATTGCTTTCATTATTTCTGACGAAGCACGCACCACACAGATATTATTAATTTTATTACATACATATAGGGTTAACTACCCCATTTCCGGCCTATTAAGTACAACCCGCACTTAGTATTTCTTAGCGCAGTTAAGCATCAAACGGAATGTAATTATTAATGCTGGCTTCCAAATTTATTAACCTTTCCTTATGTACCGTAAGATTTGATAAAGAGAAACCAATCGTTGAGATATTGTCTAAACCCAACAAACAATTTGTGCTGATTAAGAGCTGAACAAGCTATTTTTTAGCTGAAGAAGCATAGTTTTGCCTAAATAAGCTCTTATGCTGCTTCGAATGTTTGTTGGGAAGTCTAACACTGCTTCTTGACGCCAAACTCGGCCTACGGATTCTAAACTCGGCTAACGCATTGAAACGCCAATGAATTCACTTCGGCCTATCGGATGATGATAAAAAATGATCCGGTCGGAGCGCTTCTTTTGTTTTTGGGAATAATAACCCAAGTAACCAAAAGTTCTGATAAAAGGCCATTTGTGGCTTAAGCAGCTTAGTTAGTGATGGTCTTTAGAATTCTAAGCAGCCTCATTTTTAAGTCGTTATAAGAACTTGAAAGTTCCGGTATCATAATTGAAGAGAATTCTAAACAGCTTCTGGCGGAACTTGAACGGAACTTTTAGAAAATAAATTAAAAAAGGTTTTTGCCCTCTACACCAAATTCTATGTTTAGTTCGCACTTTTATGAAAGTTATTTCTAAAGGCAGGTATTTATGTGTATTGATTTATCAGCATTAGTAGTTTTTGAGCTGTTTGAAGAATTAAACCCAGTCCTTCTGCGTGAGAGCCCCAGCACGAACCGCTGCGTCATCTGAAATATATTAAAGCGAGCTGTTGTCCCGCCTACTGTTGGAGTTTTCAGTGCCAGCTGACTGACTTGCATACGAAACACAATACCTTGATGAATTTGAAATTGGTATTTGCCCGCATGGTATTCTAACACATTTGTGGCGCAGTGGTTAGCGTTAGTAGATCGCATGCCGAATACACGGGTTCGAATCCAGGAAATTACTTTTTAATTTTTTTTTTATGTTTTAATAGAATGTTGATGCACTGCATAAATATAAGAATTATGATTTATTCGGACCACTGATCATTTAATATTTACGTACATTAAATTTAGTTACTAATAAAGACTTGTGCGGATTGCTTCATGTGGCTTGAAAGTTCTGTTGGAACTATATGTGAACTTTATGGAACTTGAAAGTTCTGTCGGAACTTTATTTGAACTTTATGGATCTTGAAGGTTCGGTCGGAACTTTATTTGAACTTTATGGAACTTGAAAGTTCTGTCGGAACTTTATTTGAACTTTATGGAACTTGAAAGTTCTGTTGGAACTTTATTTGAACTTTATGGAACTGGAAGGTTTGGTTGGAACTTTATTTGAACTTTATGAAACTTGAAAGTTCTGTCGGTACTTTATTTGAACTTTATGGAACTTCTGTCGGAACTTTATTTGAACTTTATGGAACTTGAAAGTTCTGATGGAACTATATGTGAACTTTATGGAACTTGAAAGTTCGGTCGGAACTTTATTTGAACTTTATGGAACTTGATGGTTCGGTTGGAACTTTATTTGAACTTTATGGAACTTGAAAGTTCTGTTGGAACTTTATTTGAACTTTATGGAACTTGAAGGTTCGGTCGGAACTTTATTTGAACTTTACGGAACTTGAAAGTGATTTTAATCGTTGAATGCGGAACTTTTGGTTACTTGGGAACATATCACACGCTCGCATTGATTTCGTTCCGTAGCTTATTTACTAAAGTATCGTACCAAACGCATAATTAACTTGTTAACTCTGAAATCATGGATTTATTTGAAGTTTTCTGCTCGATAGGCCCAAAATGGCCGAAGTAGTTCTCCTATACGTCCATTTTGTATGGGTTTCGTACCTTCCGATCACCAGCCGCTTGCCTCAAAAAATTTCACACGTCATCATCATGTGTCTCACACTTCATTTTGCGCTTATTGTGAAACACATCCATTTCATGTGTGAATCTTATGCTATGAATCATGCCTGAACACTATGGATTTGAATTGTGACACACTTGGATTCTATGCGCCTCATTTGGTGATATCAATAGCTTTACACATCATAGTTCAATATTTTAAAATATTCTACTTTATCGACTTCTACTTTACCGACTCTAAAAATGAATCGACAAATATATAAACAAAACTGCCAGAGGCCAGAGCTTTCACATATCTTTTTAATGGGTCTGATTTGGGATTCGATCATGGACTGTTGGGGTGTGCTGCTGTCGGAGTCTTCGTTCGATCTCACTGTGCCACGGTTGTTCTCATATATGAGACGGGTAGATAGGATAAAGTCACAAGTCTTGTTTTCGATGTTTATCTTTCTGAGCAAGCAATTCACATCGCATTGAAATGCAAAACACTTTAAATCCATCTGTTTTGAACAGTAGTGTGATTCAATGTGCAATACACTTGAATAGATAGTGAAGGATTTTCAACATTTCAAAATTTGAAACACTATAAATTAACGTATATAACACATTGAACCAAGGTGAAATACACTTAAAGTAAATGTGATTGTGCATTTAAAAAATCAAGTGCTTAAGCACTTCGATCAAACGGGTGGAATTTTTTGAGTGTATGGGCTGCTCAATATTCAATAAAAGCTTGCTTGAAACTGAATACC